AAATTCTAATCATTTCAAGTTCAGAATTTATAGTCTACGTTTTTATATTCGGTTATGTAACATTCTATAAATCATTTTACTGAAAAATATCCTATAAAACACATCTCAGCTCTTTGAATATTTATAATGTAATTTTTAAATTAAATTTTAATAGTATTTATGGACAATCTTCCACTCGCGATGGTACTTTACAATATTGATAACAACAAATAATCATTCATAAGTATAAATTTATTATGATTTTCTTCATAAATATTAGATAAAATGTATCTATTTATTTATTTATTAATATTTAATTTAAATTCGGCCCTAAATTAAGCCTTCAAATATCTACTTCTGCACGCTTAGTCGCGTCGCTTTGTATCAAATCGTGCCCAAAACTAAGTACTTCCTGATATTCATAGCTCATTTTTATTATAATTTCTCCTTAAATTCTTTAATTTTTAGAGATTTATATGTACCTTTCGCAGGTAAAAGAAATAGAAAAATTATGCAGAGTAATTTAAGTGTATTGCAGTGCCACGTGAAGCGATTAAACAAGAAGCAGTTATTATTTGAAAAAAATTACACGTGTGTTTACTAAAAATTCTTTAAATTATTTTTGTAAACAAACTAGAAAAACATTATAGTTCATTCCTATCTATTTTTATTATTGTGATTAACCTTTACATATTTTAAAAATTGTTATTTTTGTTAGTAATTTGTATATATCGACGGTGCAATAAGGATTACGGAAGTATAAAATCTACAGGAAATTCCTGCTCTTTATAATAAAATGGAAATTTTTACACGTTGACTTTAAACCTACATCAATTGTAAACGAATATTTTAGTTCTCCGAATCACGAATCTAGGAAAAACTTTTTAAGATAGCATTGAAAAATTTTAAAAAATTGTTTAAATAAAAACTAAGATACATTTATATATATATAAACATTTTAAATCAAAAACCAAATTAAAAAACTGCAGTTTAAAAGCGCATTCTCTAAAATTAATCCCAAAAATTTCTTTTGAAATAAATAAATTCCTTAAATTCACACCAAAGGAATTTCTAGTTCAAAAAATATCATTTTTTTCCTTCCTTTTTTTGAAGAAAATTCTCTAAAAACAATTTAAAAGATTTTTCTTTAAATTCCCTAAATTCTCAGAATCTGTTGAGAAATATTTAAGCAAAAATATTAATTTATAATTATGTGTAAAACTTAAATTAATAGCTTAAAAACATAAAATATCATTCCCAAAATTTCAAAAGAAATAATCTAATTTAATGTTATAAGCAGTAAACGTTTTATAATAAAAATTAACAAAGATAAATTATTAAGTTTAAAGATGTTTTAACATAATTATAATCATCTACTTAGAAATAAGCGTTTAATTTTTCTTTAATATACTTTTTAATATGATGTATTTCTATAATTAGAAAATTTTCCTGTGAATAATTCCTTAATTAGATTTCATTAAATGTTTTTAATCAATTAAAAAATTAATGTAGAAATTTTAATATTTATTTGCTGATTTTTTCTGGCATTAATTAAGTTTGTAGAAGTTTTTGATATTTAATTACTGATTTTCTTTAATATTCAGTTCTAAAATTGTCGATTAAAAATATGTTAAAACGCTTTATAAATATTTTAGGATTTAAATAATAATAATTTATAAAATATTTTAAAACTTAATTACATTTAATTTCTGTATTTATTAAAAATTTTTCATAAATTATTATTTTAATATTCTCAAATTTAATAACGGAAACTTATATAAATTTTTGAAAAGGCATTTTTCAAGCTTCTAATTTCTTTTTTGTTTTATTAATTTTCTAAAATCTAATATAAGATTTTTGAAGTAAATATTTTAACTTTAAAGAACTTTATATAAATGTTTTAATGAGATAATTAATTATTTAAAACCACTATGTTTTCGAGAGGAAACGACGAAATATATCCAGGAAAAACACCTGAAATTTGAAAAAAATACATTTTTATGTGAAAAAATTGAATATGTTTTGACTTAAATCCTAATTTTTCTTTAGACGTCCTTGAGTATAAACATATTCGTTTTCATAGTATTTTCATAGAATGATTTTCGTGATGTTTTGATACCGAAAAAAGAAATAAAAAATATATCAATCGTTGACCCTGACTACTACAAATGTCTGCACGCCATTCGAGGAAGCTTTGAGGTCACACACTTTCTAATGTTTCCGCGAATAGCGTGCTGTCCATTCACGTGACTCCGGCGTCACGTGACTGGCGTTTCGTGACGAGGACCACCTTTTTCAAAAACTGACCATGGGTCTTGTCACGTGAACACCACGCGATTTTTCAAAAAGTTCTGTTATTCAAATTCGAAGAAATTTAAACGTTAGAATTAATAATATAAATTGTATAAAGGTGATTATTTATATTAAAATCAATATTCTCTTAATGAATGCATCGCTAGTTTATGCAAAAATTATATTTTAATTTAGCCAAAAATTAAAAATATTTAATAATTTCAGTAGAGAAAATTTTATATATATATATANTCTGTGATTCATGGGACACACTTGACACACTATAACGACAGGAATCACGCTGACGAAAGTTATGACCTCCCTTCTCACGTTTAAAATTAGGTCAGTGGTCCCGAAGCCGAAATTTTCCAGCATGCATTCTGACGTAACCAACAAACATATTTTCTTTCTTTCTTTTTTATGAATATTAAAAACGGAATCAACACTTTCGCAACTGGTTGTATACATGAAAACTTTTATTGTAATTCATTACATATTTTCAACAATGAAGGGTGGTTAAATTATGGAATTCAGAATATTACATCTCTACTTTCATTATTATTTTTTTTACAAGAGCTTGCTTTTTTATATGTACTACCAGGCATGCTCTAATTATATGTTTAAACCCGGTAATTTTATTAGAGAGAAAATTCAGTTTAGTAGTTCGCCATCATCCGCTTCAACTGATAAATCTATCAGTTGGATTCTAAAATAGCTCACCTTTTCACTCTTTTCTATTAAATTTTATGATAAAGATCTAAACAAATTTATTTATTTTTCTATCTTTTCTGAATTAATCTTTGTTTATGGATAATGTTTAATTGAGGTCATTGGGTTAGCTGATTCCGAACAATCAATGAGCATTGGCTGCAAATCCGCCTAACTGTTTATAAATTTGATACAATTATATTGGAAAAGGAAGAAACAATTAATGTAATTTGTATTGATTTGTAAATTTTGCTTCCTCAACTTTTAGAAATATCATAACAAGAATTTTTTATGAATCTTCTATGATGTTTCTGTTATTGGGATTCCATTGCTTCAACAATATCATTTGAGTTTTAATTAGAATCTTAAAAGTATTTTAGAATGGTTTTATGCTAAGTAAAATAGCAAGAGATTTTTTATTATTTTAAAATATTGAACCAAACACAAAACCATCATATCGTGCAAAAGAATAATGTTAACTCGAGAATAAAAATAAGATTAAAAAAATATATATATATATGTTTAGACGAACTTACTACAGATAACTTTTTCCTCCTGAAAGTTTACTTTATGGGTTTATATTTAAATCAAAGAACTTCCAAATTTTTTTCGGGGAGCCGGCATAACTACAAAAATACATGCGTTCACTTGGTAGGTACTGTGGTTTGTAAAATGGAATGGGTCAGTGATCGAAATGGTTGATATTTGCTCCACCCAACATCCCGTTTTGACAGGAAACCCACCTGTTTTACCTTACCATTATTCGCTCGGTATATGTTGGGACACGGAATGTTGCAAGCGCGGGTCGGAGGGTGAAAATATTACAAGCTACATAAAGAATTGGTCAATCTAGGTCTAGGTCGGATGCTATGCTTTACTGTTATTTTGTTAATTACTTGATTTAGTGCTAATTATTTTTAAAGGATTATGTATCAGATTATGTAAATTCTGATATACAACAACGTTAAAATTGTTTTATTCATTTATTTTTAATTAATTTCTATGTGTTTAGAATGTCTGAATTTAGGTAATATTTATCAGAAGTTATAAAAATTATTATTATTATTTTATTTTAGTAGAATGTTTGAAATATGAAAGATGTTACTACTTTAGATGAAAATTGTTATAAAGTATAAAATTATAATTACAGTTACAAGTAAATATTAACAAAACAGAAACCACAATTGAGTACAAAATGGTTTATAGGGCGATTATGCCTTACTAGATGTTTGTCTGTAAGACCTGCCATTAGCATTCACCCTTTGTTACGTAGAATTGTAGTTAAGTATAGAGATCCCTGTAATCCTGGAAACTATCAGATGTTTAAAAAATTCCATTGACTAGAAGCTCGTACATTTCATCATTCGTAGTTACAACCAGTCGTGCGTTAAAATCCCGTTTACTTGAGCACAAACATGATTTGCGCTCAGGAAAGCACACGACGAAGTTAACGGACTAGAGCCTTACAAACAATTTTATTGAGAATTGGGATGTATTCTCTTGTTATCTTAATTTAATCGCCTTATAAACTCATCAATCTACGTTTTTGAATGCCGTTTTGTTAGTCAAGTTAGTCTTTTTAATTATTTACATATATAATTGCACTTAGAATCAGTTTACATATTAAAACCATATGTTGACATATTAACATATATTTTAATGTTTTTCACTGAAAATATTTTTTAGATTTTTTAAACATATTTGTATATTTTTCATAGAAATGAAATCAACTCTAAAGATTATGTAATTTATTTCAAAATAAGTATTTTATAAAACAGTTAAATATAAATAAATGAATGAAATTCGTTAGAGTTAAGATAGTTACAATGATTTCCATGATTTCGTGATTCGTGTATATTTATACCAGTTCTTATCTATATGTAATTTAAGGTCAAAGTCTATACTACAGTTAACATATCAGATTTTAAACAATGTAATCATACTCTCCACAATGTATCTTAAACTCTAAATGTTAGTGTCATTCATTTTAAAAAGAATATTGTATCCAATTGATGTCCTACATTTTAAATATAGATATCATTCTAATCTGCAAATTTATGTTTCTTCACTAAAAATCCACGGATCCCTGGATATTTGAAAATTATATCTGAGTTCTAAACAAGTCCATCATGATAGGAGAGTCACTCCATCCTGCACATCTATTTAAGAATAAAATATAATCAATGGTAGCTTTGTATCCGTCATTGATCGAATTTAAATGAAAACAAGACATTTACAGTACATATCTATATTTTAAATTTACTTACATTATATTAAAATACTTGAAGAAGTCTGCAAAATATGTGACATTATTATAGTTTCTCACTACTAAATACTATAGTAATGAAAAGCCATAAAAGTTGCAGTACTGTAGAGATAATATTAATTTAATCTGTTTGAATTTCTACTGAAAATAATGTTTTCTTCGAGATTATCTGAAGACATTTGAAGAATTTCAGTAAACATAATATAAAATAAGTAAATGATCAAATCTACATTTCTAAAACTGATTATATTTTCAATTTTCAACTTATCAACATAAATAAGTTTTAACAGAAGATTAATTATAATAAAACAAAATTAAAAACACGATGTTATATCTCATTTAGCAAAATTCACTCAACTTTCATTTTCCTCTCAGCCGATAGAATGAGAGGAAACACGCAGCATCCATATCGATCTTTTCCCTTCACAAATTACTGAACATGAATCAGATACTAAGTCAATCGTTAAACTGCATTGACTACCCATTAAAAACTTTTAAAACAGGTCGACAACATTTCCTGTAGAAAACAAAGCAAAAAACTGTAAAATTCTAAAAAAGAATGGTCGGAGGGAGAGAAGAGAGAGTCTGTGATTCATGGGACACACTTGACACACTATAACGACAGGAATCACGCTGACGAAAGTTATGACCTCCCTTCTCACGTTTAAAATTAGGTCAGTGGTCCCGAAGCCGAAATTTTCCAGCATGCATTCTGACGTAACCAACAAACATATTTTCTTTCTTTCTTTTTTATGAATATTAAAAACGGAATCAACACTTTCGCAACTGGTTGTATACATGAAAACTTTTATTGTAATTCATTACATATTTTCAACAATGAAGGGTGGTTAAATTATGGAATTCAGAATATTACATCTCTACTTTCATTATTATTTTTTTTACAAGAGCTTGCTTTTTTATATGTACTACCAGGCATGCTCTAATTATATGTTTAAACCCGGTAATTTTATTAGAGAGAAAATTCAGTTTAGTAGTTCGCCATCATCCGCTTCAACTGATAAATCTATCAGTTGGATTCTAAAATAGCTCACCTTTTCACTCTTTTCTATTAAATTTTATGATAAAGATCTAAACAAATTTATTTATTTTTCTATCTTTTCTGAATTAATCTTTGTTTATGGATAATGTTTAATTGAGGTCATTGGGTTAGCTGATTCCGAACAATCAATGAGCATTGGCTGCAAATCCGCCTAACTGTTTATAAATTTGATACAATTATATTGGAAAAGGAAGAAACAATTAATGTAATTTGTATTGATTTGTAAATTTTGCTTCCTCAACTTTTAGAAATATCATAACAAGAATTTTTTATGAATCTTCTATGATGTTTCTGTTATTGGGATTCCATTGCTTCAACAATATCATTTGAGTTTTAATTAGAATCTTAAAAGTATTTTAGAATGGTTTTATGCTAAGTAAAATAGCAAGAGATTTTTTATTATTTTAAAATATTGAACCAAACACAAAACCATCATATCGTGCAAAAGAATAATGTTAACTCTTATGTTCAATATGCTTTAAATAAAAAAGTTTTCATGTAATATTTTCGTTACATTTTGAACAAATGTTTGATTTTATACTCAAAATGAACAATTTGGTTTGCGCTATTAAGACAAACCGCTGGTCCATTGTTCGATTTTATTTAAATGACGGATCAGAGGACACAGTTGAATGTCCATCAACGGAAATCGAATCGGATACATCCGTTACGTCATTAGAGGGTGTCTGAGGTCAGGGTCACATCATTCACATGATCTCTTTCGATTTATATTAACTATGAAAACCGTATAATTAACCTGTCCAAAATATTGTAATATAATACAGTAAATTTACCTTTTAAGTAAGTTCAAAATTCGAAAAAACATTTCTAAATTATTAATTTTCAACTTGTAAAAGATCTTCTAGATTTACATATTTAAAATTGAGTCTTTTCATTCTGTCAGTTGTTGGAAGATTAGCTTGAATTTCTAATTTTGGCAATTCATCGATTTTCAAAGATAGATACGGACATCCTTTCGAAATGCAATAGCTCATCCAATTATCTACTTTTTTAATTTCTTCTGTGTTTGTAGACGTAAGCAATTTTTTTCGGATTTCTTCACGTTTATCAATTTCGATATTCTTCTCGCATTTAACCTTTTAAAAAAAATTCAAATGCGTACTCTTACATTTAAAACAAATAAGCTTAAGCTTAGAAAACTTACCTTTGCATAATTTAAGAAATGAAATTGGCTGAAAGAATTGCTACAGATGATTATTATTGATTGATCTGCAGTTTGGCACTGTATAGAATTTTTATTAATAAATATTTTTTCTGCATTTAGGAATTTCATTTGTAATTGTTGAAGTAGAGAAATACGATTGATATCCCAAATGAAAAGATGCTGCAAATTTGTTTAAATCTTGTATATTCATATTCAGAAAAATATTAAATAATTGATTAAAGAATTACCATATCTCTTGAAAGAGAAAAAAGAAAATCTTCTTTAAAATGTAAGCATGAAATTGCCGATTTATGTCCACGAAAAATATTTTCAGGAGTAGAAGCAACGCATGGATTCCATATTCTAATTAATCCATCCTTCGAGCCTGTGGCCAAGATAAAAGATCTTTCACAATAATCCAAGCATTGAACTCCCTGAAATAGGTTTTGTTTATTTACTCAATTATTCTGTAATGTAAAAGTTTTACACTACAAAATAAATGTGTCATATATTTTTCTTACTTTTCTTAATTTCATTACGTATGGACTGTTTTTCAAAAAAATACTCTGCACAACTATAGAACATTTTGATTCAGAACTGCATGTAATTAGTCTATCGATATTTTGTATGTAAACCAACTGATGTAACGGCTCTTCATGGTATTTATCGAGGCATTTGTATAAAACATGTTTTTTATGTTCCATAATATTCTAAGAAAGTTATTAATGACATTAAAATATATATAATTTTCTCAATTTGCTGCAAAATATATTTTCCATATGTTACCTTAAGTGAAATCCATTGAGTTTTCTCTTTTTGACAAATATCAAACATATAATTAGTTGGATCAAAAAATTTTAATAAATGTACAGATCCATTCAAATCTCCCCAGAATAAGTAAGAAACAGATTCTGGCATCTAAAACAAAGAAAAAATATTAACATTTTTTTTAAAATTCAAAAGATCATTCCAGGATCTATAGCGTGATTCTTGAAATAAATGTATCATACCTCTCTATCATAACAGTAAAATAAGCATGAAGGAATATATGACAAATCTAAAAATATTTAATTGTTAAAATGCGTAAAGTTTTACTTATATAAGTCTATTAAAATTACTTTACTTATATATATATAAAATTAAAACCTGTTACAACGTAAGATTCTAAATGAAAACTAGCAGAAATGTCTACGAAATGAAGACAACGATTTGTTGTAGCTATAACGTAAAATGTACAATTTTCCATCAGTACAACATCCGTTACAGTTCCTCTCTTTCCTTTCCATCTGTGATTATTGTACTTTCGCTGAATATCAATATTGTATGTCTTCTGGCATAAAAATGAAGAATCGTAGACACCAACTGTACCTATCTGTATATAAAAAGTCATAATTGGGTTTCTAAATGGAAAATAAACGTTAAGCAGACATACATTCTACCTTATTGAAAAGAAGATACAGAAACTGTGAAGAAGAAATCGGTAAAATGGAAACTAAACATTCATTCTGAAAGCAAATAATAAAATATTTTTAAAAATATGAATTGATCATTTAAAATATAATTATAAGAAAGTATTTACTTCAAACTTTTTCCAATTATATTTTTCATTTAATATATTTCCCGACACATCGAATTTTGTCTTATTTTCTAGAATATCGATGAAATTCTTCCATGTAATTTTCTTGATCAAATCCGATTCGTTATTGGCCTAATATCAATTAAGCAGAATAATTAAATATATGTTAAGCATTAAAACTCAAGTAACAATAACTGAACATACTTAATTAAGGCCGGATGACCGAACGGTCAAGGCTCTCTGAGGGACCCAGGTTCGAATCCGGACGGGTCGAAAAATCCCCAGGAATTTTTTGGGGATTGGTCTGATCGGATACGTCGACCCCCGAAAGCCTCCCCATTGTGGGTCTGGCCAAATCCATAATGGGCTTGCTAAATGAGGCCCACAGAGTAAAAAGAATAATAAAACAACCTACTTGATTAAATAATAATGTGGCTTCAGTTTCATACTTATCGGAAAGAACGTGACAAATGGCATTTTTGAATTCATTAATATTTAATTCTCCTACGGTGTCTCTAATAAAAATAAATCACATCAAGCAGATTAGTTTTTAAATAAGAATTTGAAATAAATTAAAATTTCTACCTTTCAAAAAAGAAAGATCGGAGTTCTTTTAACTTGGAGATTGTTAAAACATTTTTTAAACTTTGTTTTTCGCTGGCGTCATCCATTTTTATACAAAACTCTAAATGTAGATGCGACAAAAGATACGATTAGAAGATTATTATTATATTTTTTTATTTTGTTACCGCGTTGCCTGGAAACGATAAACAAATCTGCCATAATTTGATGCAAAATTATAAATTTTCATTTAAATAAACATTTAATATTTTCTTATATTTATAAATCTTAAATATTTTTTAAAACATATTTAAAATTAAAAGTTATGAAAATTTTTTTTCCTGTTTTGCGTTGATTTTTCGTAGTTATTATCTGGCAACGTTTAGTTTAATTCTAAAAGCGTTGCTTAGATACTCTTACAAACATCACGTTTTTTTCGCGAGTCACGTGATCGTTGTAAGCTACATTTTAAATTCTATGAAGTCTAGATGCACTTGCAAACTAATTATTATTAATTAGAATACTGCTTTAAGTAAAAGTATAAAATATTTTCTGTAGAAATTATTATTATTAATTTTTTTTTGTTTCTTTGTCATATTCATCTCTGCTTAAGAGATGAGAAGTCATATACCAAAAAAAAAAAGCTCAATTTTTCTTAAAAAATTAATTTATTATTTGTCTATATTTAATTTCATATGTTTAAATTTAAAATTATTCTAAATTACAGTATGTTAACTAAAAAACTCAGTTATTTTAATAATTGAAACATTAAATTATATTGTAGATGGCGCATTAAAAACATGGCGGCCTCCATAGAAGCGAGTCTTCCTCAGAAGAGATATTATAGACAGAGGGCTCATTCAAATCCAATAGCGGACCATTGCTTAATTTAGTAAGAATGTTTAATATTTTAATGTTATCTTTACAGTATAAAGTATAAATAATTATAAATCTTGATTCTTTAACTATAAATGACGATTGCTTACGCGCTTGAATTGAGCCCGTAAATCATCCAAAACAAAATATATTTGTTTTTATTTGGTCAGAATTTCTCAAAAATCAGGATAATGTATAACGCATCCAATCAATAATTGCTAACAATGTCTAATTTAATTTAAATGAACTACGTACAATTGTAACAAAATGATACAAAAACCATATCTTTAACAAACACATGCTTTACTAATGCAAAACAGCAATCGATGTTAACTAATCCTTGCCCTCTAGCGGACAAAGTACAGAGTTAAACCAAATAGTTCATTATTACAACAGTGGAAACTCTCGTGTACTGTACCGTAGTGGCGACAGCGCCAACTAGTGACATCTAGCGGTTTGAGGAAAAAACTAACACTGCAGACTGTAAAGTCTAACAAAACTTGCAAAAACGCAACGAAATAAATATTATCTTTTTGTCTTTATTTTATGATCTTAAAACATGAATTATAATTTTATTTAGTAAGAAACGTGGATGGATAGTGATTTAAAGGAAGGAATAATAGCAACGAAACAAATCAAATGTAATGAGTCAGATTTTTTAAATTAAAATCTGAGGTTTTAATATAATTTTATTAAATTGAAACAATTTTTTAAAATAAAACATTTTTACATTAAATTAAAACACATTGAACACAAATAAATCATGTATATCAAAACATGATAAATGGCACTTCTACATTGGAAGGTTCTTCTAGTTTTCTTTTTTTGGGGACTGCTTCTCATCGTGGTCTGTTTGGATTATAAATTAATAGTGAGGATACTAGTGTTGCCACCTTTTCAAAATCGCTGATCCAGACGGCAGGTGAGGTTTGTTTGAACAGAAGTTCCTGACACATGCACAATGTCATTTTGCAATGCGAAGAATAACGTGCAGTACATGCCAGTTCTAAATCAGTTACAGTTAGGGACTAGGGAGACTGGTAGGAGTAGCGTAACTAAATTAAGAAAAACAACTACAGATGACCTAGCTCTATCAAATATTGGAGACGTTTACGAATACAAATCGTACAAAAAAAAAAAAAAAAGAAAGAAAGAAAAGGTCAACAGGTTGTGCACGATATTTCTGGACAAAATTAGTAGTTCACCCGGACAGTGAGTCTATTCCCGGACTGTCCGGGTGAAAACCGGACAGGTGGTAACACTAGAGGGTACTTCACCAGGCCAGATCCTGTAACATATGTAAAACAAGTTTTTAGTCAAGTGCAGTGATAGAAAACTAAATAAAATCTGTGTGTGCACAATCAACGATAAGTTCAATATTAAATTGTAAACTTCTAATTTGGTGAAAGGAACAAAGAATAGGTAAAGAACACCATTAAATAATATTAAGTAAACAAATAATAAACAATTTTAAATACCCTTGGCTTAAGAGATTTTTGTTTCTGAAATCTTTTTCCGTAAAATGGTCATAACACACGATGTAATTTCTATTTAAATATTCTGCCTCTTTTGTTTCAAAATCTTGTCTAAATCGGACCTTCTGCTCTTAATAACCCACTGAGTGCCTCTGAAAATCAATATAAACACATATGTTGAATGATAACAATATTTTAAATGAGGAATGTTGATATAAATGAAAACAACGTAATTGCTTATTAATTTATTTACACTTGTTTGTTTAGGGAATCTGTAAAACGACTTGCAATCACTTTGTATCTTATAATTAAAGCAGCCATACATAGTGCAAATAACCCCTCTTCCAGCCATTCTAATTATTGTGAGATATAAAAATGTTCAAAACTATATTTATATTAATACCCAAAAACATCTCCTTATACATGCAGTATAAATGGAATGAAGTGTAGTTATCTCCTCAAACCACTAGATGGCAGGCTGAAGCTTGTCACCAGTTTTCAGCAGAAGTTTCCACTATTGTCATAATAAACTTTTGGTTAAACTTAATCTACTTGCACCTAATACGGTGGAGGTAGATGAATTGGCTTCAAGCGAGCTGAAATAAAACAGTAATTTGAAGGCTTACGAAAAACATTTGCTTTTTATTGTTGATGAATGAAATTCTGCTTACGAACTAAATAATTTCTTATATACCAAGAGGTACAAATGCAGCTCTGAATGAAGCAAGTGGGTCCTTATCAGAGTTGTAGATTGTGCTCGTAGGAGAAAAAAGTTGCAGGAACTGATGGTTTACATGTGGCCCTTCATGAGATAGGGGCCTCCACAAAATTTGCCTACGTGGAATATTGATGATCCTCAAATATTTTCTATATAGGATAAAATTTAAGTGAAAATTTCCTAAATTATTTCTCAAAACAATGCTAAAATCAACTGTTTTCATTTTACTAAAAATGGCTTAAAGTTCATAAAACATGAGAAATGCCATTGCCAAATACTTCTGGGATCTGATTGGAATCATGCTGTGTGCTATACAAAATGTTTTATGTTATTAATTAATAAGCAGCCTGGTTAGATATTCTAGTATTTATTAATAAAGAATAAAGAAACACCTGATTATTGCATCAGTCAACTATTTAAACTATGTTTACCAACATTGCATTCAGTCATTCCTGCCTTACAAATGGATTTGCCAGTGTTGCACTTCTAGGCTATCTCTTTATCCAGAGACATATTGAACAGTTTTGGTACCTGAGGCAAACCTCTTATTTGGTACCACTGATTCAATGTTGATTACAAAAAAATTCTATGGGCTTATTTTGGGGCCCTAAGACTGGCATCTAGGGCACATGTTCACCTTTGCTTTCCCCCTTAGTAATGCTGCTGTCTCTATCATTTATTCTAACTACCAATGTAAAAGGCAAAAAACTACTGTAAATTTACCTTCAACAAAGTCTTCGTCCATGTCCCTTGAGATGTCCTCTAGCTACTAGGTCAATGATGGCAAACCTTTTTGAGAAGTGGGTCAAATTTTGTTCATTATTTTTTTTAGTACTAGCTCGTGGGTCACTAAGTCAGTGGCATCACTTGGAAAGGAGGGGAGGATGATTAAAAACTACTATTTTTTGGTTCGCACTTTTAAAATTCACTAAAAAGTTTATGTTTCCTTTTTGTTTTACAACTTTTATTTTTGCAAGTGAAGAGCACAAAATAAAGGTTGACGTAAAAAAATTGATATCAATGGGGTGATACTATGAATTACCACACCAGGTGACACCATGTCCAGTCAGCAGTCGCTCCTGCAGTATTTGAATGAACAAGGAATAAAGAAAATCACATATATATTATGAAATATTATTTATTAATATATATAGTTACAGGTATGTGTATGTATAATAAAGTTGATAATAAAATTGAAGTATATTTAATAAGAAATCTGATGTTGTTTATTTTCAGATAGTTTCTTAATATTAGGTTCATATTCCATATTTATTAGTTTAACACAGTGTTTTTCCACCTTTTTGAATATGCGACCCCTTTACAAGTTAAAAAATTCTGGCGACCCCCCTAGGGCCATATTAAAACTATATCAGTGATTATAAAAACTATGTATTTAATTTTCTTTCTGTTGAGAAAAATTATTGTTGATTAAAACGAGAATTTGAGAAGAATTGACAATAACTTAAGACACACAATGTGTGAAACTTCCTTTTCATTATAACATTGGGCTCGGGATGCTGTTGACCTTTTTTTTTTTTTTTTTTTTAGGATGAGAATTTCCAACTTCTACTTTTCTACTTATTACTTACTTATTTTTTCAAGTCAGCTCAACACTTTTTACGGCTATCATTTTCTGCGGTGGCCCGTGCCCACCCGGGCCTATCTCTGGCTACACCCATCGTTGAGACCTGAATGTCGATCAAAAAACCAATTGTACTGTATAATAAACAGGTACAGCCTTCTCGCTGAAATTATAGTTTTTTGTAATGTAGTGTAGGACCTACAAACACTTGTCTTTTTCTTTTACCCGCGACCCCCCGTGTAAGACTTCACGATCCCCCTGGGGGTCGCGACCCACAGGTTGAAAAACACTGGTTTAACACATTTTGCAGTCAATTCATTTCCAAGTTTATTTCTATTGGTAGATTTTACAAAATTCATTGAAGAAAACAATTTTTCACATGAATATGTGGACCCAAACATCGTTAAAAGAGCATTAGCAAGTTTCTTCATTGATATAAAATTATTTGGTAAGAATCCCATATGTTTAATATAATATTTTCAATTTTTAGTGTGGGATCATTATTATCTGCACTACTTTCAAACATTTTTCCTTCTACTTTGGAAAGCAAGTTTTCAAATTTATTTTTCCATACTATGCTGCTTTGAAATTCAACTAATTACATTTCTAAATCATGGATACCTAACCACATAAATTCAGTTAACTCCATTGTTTCGAATTCTGTTTTGTATGGATATAAAATAAAGTGAAATGTATCTGCATCGGGCCTTCAGACTGTTTTTTTTTTTTTTTTTATAAATTTGACATTAGATATATATACATTATTTTTTTAATATTTTTGATTGTCTGTTCTCTCTTTTATGATATAAAAAATAAGTTCATAAAAATCAATGTGTGGGTCATTTAAAATGCCTGCATGGGCCAGTGCCTGACCCGCTGGTCATAGGTTTGTCATCACTGTACTAGGTGATGCCTCTGGATGTTCAGTACTAGATGGGGTGAGGTTGCTGGGACCCAACTCAGCTAGGTTCTGGCAATCAATGACAAAGATGCCTGATGATGTCTGAAAAATCACATATTCCATGTTTTACATCTGCAAGTATCCATTGGTCGAATGCACTACATACACATACTGCACTCACTAAGTAAGTCATCATCCACTCTCTGCTGTTATTGTCCTTGTGTGTAGGAGTGTAGGACCTTCAAAATATGGCTTGTTGAATGGCAGATGATCTACAGGCATTCTGATTATGAGGAGTTGGAGGCCCTTGTGAGTGGGATCTAGATATATGGCCATGATGTTCCCAAAAAAAAAAAAAAAATGCTTGAATTGTGACAGTGGTGTTAGCAATTTGGACAGGAATGCATTCTGTAGACATAAGTGCAGGTTTATACCTTACATGCTCAACTCTGTTCAGAACAACTTAATGGATTTCTTCAGCCAGTAATTTTGATTCTTGATGTTCTGAGTGTGGGCCTCAGAATCATCAATGTCAACAAATCTGCACAAAAAATTCAAATTTCAATAATGCCACTTCATTTATTTCAGTTAATACTGAAAGTTGCAACTGTTCCTTATTTCTGAGCCTCACTGGTTGTGGTTTTTGAGTTTATGATTCGAGAAGCCCAAAGCCATACAACTTTGATATTGGATTGAACTGTTAGAAACTATTGTTGTTCCTAGAGCAATGTATCTGACCATATGTCATCACAGAATTTGTTGGCTCTTGTTCTTTACCCAAAATATGAGAAAGTACAATGTAAATCTCTTTGATTCTACAGTTCTATATATTGCTGCAACTGCACCAGGATCTGTATGTTGTTGCATGCTGTGCAATTGCATTTGTGTAATGCATGCAACAATTGCTTTTCTGAACAGTAATTTGCCTACTGCTGAGGTGCACATTGCAACATCATTCATCATTTCCTCCATCTTTCTCATATAATTGTGTATATGATGTCTCTGATTATTGCAGATTAGGATTTATTCTGTAGAACCAATAACTTAAATGTCTGTTGAAAAACTTTAATTTGATTGAACTTGATCAACTGCCATCAAAATGTAGTGTTGTAGTAGTACTGCCTGTGTATTGATTACAGATGCCAATAGCAAACAGAAATGCAGAGCTTCTCAAACAGGTTGCAATATAATTGGCAAATTTTCAATGATTGGACAGAGATGACACTGTACGGGATAATCTGTACAGATTATCCCGTACAGATAATCTGTAGATATTGACAATTGATTAATGTTAAATGATTTTGAAGATCAATGATGCCTGCTGGATCACTCATAGGATTTTGCATAGCAACTGCAAGCCACAACATCATTCATAAAAGTTGGTGCTAGAGCAGTGAAAGATTCAAACTGTACAGTAGAGTCCGTACAATGCAGGGGATTCATTATGCATTATAGGAAATCGCATTATTGAAACCTGCATTATCACACAATTTATGAAAGTTTAAACCTTGGCCTGTAAGTTGAAAAAAACGTATACCTCTGATCAACAAAATTTGAGGGTGTTGCTTGCTTTATTTGCGTGTTGTATGGGGCTCTACTGTACAGTCTAGCTGAATATGTTAACAATGGAAGATAATTAAGACAAAGCAATCATATATTTACATCAGCTCTTGCACAATCTTTCACTAAATCTATCATTGTGCAGCTGATTCCATGCTCTCAATGCTTGAAGTGTATGATCAACATATGAAATGAAGTTGACAAAGTAGCATAATGAAGTCCAACACAATCAGCCTGAAATGGCAATTAATAATTATTAGCTTATGTCATGTTGAAGAAAGTTAAATGATAGAATAGATTGCTCCTTGAAAGAACCAAGTTATTGCTTAGTTTAGAAATGTACAAGTGCAGTTTAGTATTACAACAAATGGTACTTGTAAAAATATATGAATTACCTCAGTATTGAGAGCCAGATGGTATGAAAATTGGTTAAATCTATATAATGGTAAAGTTTTTATGTGGCTGCTTCAGTAAGAAGGTGGTCTTAAATTCATAGGATGTTAAATTGGAAAATTGTTGGGATCTAGGTGGGAGATTCTGCCTGTCACAAGCAAAAGGTATTTGACTTGTATTTGTCTATGAAGATGGACGAATGACTAGCCATGGATTAGGTTTATAAAACTTTGATAGTAGGAGTCACAATCATGAACCTGTTTCTGCAGTTGTGTGTGTTACAGATGACAAAACTGGAAGTGAGAGGAGATGAAAATGCTCTAATAGAAATCATTTTAGTGAAATGAAAACTGGTTGACACACATCTCAAATATAACTTTCACCATTATCCTCATTCATGATAACTTTATATCTTATTTAGATATTTATCTTTGATTTAGATTAATAATAATATACTTGTATATAATAATGAAACAATACAAAAATAATTCTTATTTTCTTTTATTCATTTTATAAAAATCAGTGAAATGATAAAATTTTTCATACTTTTATAGTCCTCCTTCTCCAGAATGCATGGATTGGTCTTCTTACTTTCCAACATATTTTACATCTGAAAATAAGGAAAATTCAAAGAAAATTGAATTTGCAGATGTTGGATGTGGTTATGGAGGTTTACTAGGTAGAAATATTAATTTAATTTACAGCACTTATTATTGATTTAGAAATTATATTTTAATTTGGAGAAATATTTTCATATTCAAAAATCAAGACAATACAAATCCTACAATGAAAGGTCAATGTTGAGATAATTTTTTAATGTATAATTTTTAATAGTGTTTTATTGGTCAATTTATAAAGTTTTTTGCTTCAAGTCACCTATTGTTTAGTCCCTGAATGGAGTGAAAATGATTTAAAGGACTTGAACATTGTTTGTATTGTCTTGATTTTCAAATGTGAAAATAATCCTGGGCTCATGTATAATTATATTTTATTAAAAATATTTTATATTTATTTTATCATGGAGTTAACTTAGTCTGTTCATTTTTTTAGTGAACTTGTCTACTATTTATCCTGATGTGTTAATGGTAGGACTAGAAATCAGAGTTAAAGTGTCTGATTATGTTCAAGATCGCATTAAAGCCCTCAGATTGCAACATCCAGGACAATACAATAACATTACATGTTTGAGAACAAATGCTATGAAATATCTACCAAATTATTTTTATAAAGGGCAGGTGAGATATAACTGTTATTAATTTAATCATTATACATTTATAACAGAATATTTATAATATATACCAGTAAAAATATTAATTGCTGAAGAATAATGATCAGTGCTGCCATTTCTAGGGTAATTTCAACTTTTTAGGGTAATGTTTAGGGTAGTCTTATATTTAGGGTAAATCTAGGGTAAAACTGCCCTGTGATCTGATGCTATTACCCATTGTGCCACAAGTTTCACCGGAAAAAGTTTTAGCCTAAAATCATTCTGTTTTCCCCTATAACTGGAGGGTTTTAGGATAGGACAACAGAAGCTAAAGGAATAAAGCTGATTGGTGGTTTCATTTGAATCTTCAAAACGAATTTTAAAATGCAAATACAGTGGGTGATCGGATAACGAACACTTTTGCGAAAGATTTTTATGTTCGGACAACGAACACCCCACAGAACAAACACAAGAAGAAACGATGTAAAATAATGAATACCAATTGGTCTTTCCTTGTCTTTGGACAACAATTCAAAACTTTTCGGAGTGTGGGAGATGTCAACATCGACGCTCAAGCTGGTATATACCGATTGGATAGTATTCCTCCGAACTTTGAAACTCTCCCTTGTAATTTCAGTCTTTTTTTTCTGACAAAACAATTCTGTTATGTATTCACGAGACTGTCAGGCACTCATTAAGTTTTGCGTCTGTTTTTCTTTTTGAAAGGTGAGAGTATAATAGCAAAGGTAGAGAGTGGGCAGAAGATGCCTAATGTTGCTGGGCAGTATGGCGTGAACAGGTCTACAGTAGGCCACAGTTCAATCTTATTTAAGAAAAATACTGTATAATCAAGAAGACTCAAGCAGCTAAAGGAGTAACAAAAATCACATCTGAGAAATAAAGAACATCGAAGAGTTCGTAATGGAACCTGAAACGGATCTGACGACAGAAGAACGCCAAGAACTCTTGAATGAAGAACACCAAGAAACTCGGCGAGATATGTTTTCTTCTGAAAAAGAGGATTAATGCCGATATCTGTTATTAAAGATCCTTTGAAGAAGTGGGAGGATGTCAGAACAACGATCTTAGAATGGCATCCAAACCAGGTTGAGGCTTGGGGATTTCTACAATCGCAATGCTATTAATTACTTACGAAAAATCCTGAAGAAGAGAGAAAAGCAATCGCTATTAGACAGATTCTTTAACTTTTTCAAACAGAAAAACATGACTAATAAAAATGCAAGACTGTGTATGTATGTATTTTTATTATAACATATAAATAAACGTAGTAAGAAAGTATATATTTTTTTATTTTTGGGGTCTCCAGAATGAATTAATTAAATTCCCATTAAAACCTATGGTAAATCGATAATCTGTTAACAAACAATTCAGATAGCGAACAAAGTCTTGGAACGGATTATGTTTGTTAACCGATCACCCACTGTATATATGTAAATGAATTTTTAAAATTGGTCATTTACATATTAAAGTTTGTTTGAAATCATGTTTGAATGGCTTATTTATTTTTTTATCTTCAGCTAAGATATACAACACATGCTGAAAGTGAATTAATTAAAATTAAGTTCAAATAACTGCATTCATTAGACTTATGAATATATTTTATGATTATTTAAAGACCAGGCAAGATTTATCTCGTTTGTCAAATTGGTATTACCAAACTAAAACATCAATTATCTCCATATCAGGTGTAAATTAATACGTCTGATAAAGCCTAAAAATCCTAAGACATTTTAGTTATTAAGATTTTTAAAAACAATGAATTAAGAATTGTTATGATTATTATTTCATGATAATAGTACAGGGATCTGTGTCGTAGAATCATTTGTCTTATTTTTTTTATCCGAGCATGAGCTTGAGCTCGGAGAGTTTTCTCAATTTACAGTAATCTAGGGTAAAATGAAGGCACTGTCCAGGTAGTTCCACCAGAAGCAGATGGCAGCACTTATAATGGTAATGGATATTTCAAGTAATTTGACTGTCTTTATCACATTTCAAAGTGTGGTTTCAATTAAAAGCATGATTTTAAGTTGTTATAAAATCAGTCAAATTATACAAGTAATTTAACTAATATAAGTTATATTTTATTAAAAATATTGACTAGAAAGTTTTAAATTTATGATAAAAATATTTTAAGAAATGTTTTTAAAATTGATATTCTAAAAATTCATACAAAAAAAATATAATTTTTAACTTAAAAGTTGTTATACGTAATTTATTTATGTTGCAATCATATTATTTGAAATATCATGTATGAAAGATTGAATTTAAACAAATAAAATAAATATTTTATGAATCATTTAGAATTTTTAGTATCAGTTGTTTTCTATACACTTATTTAACTAATACTATACTACTACTAAGTTCCTTTAACTAAATATGAATAGTTATGGTGTTTATTTGGTGTATATTTATATAACTTTCACATTTATAATATACAAAATCAGAATGTATAATTTAAAATATGAAAACAAAGATATTCAAATTTACAATTTAAAAGTTTTATTGAAAATCTTTATCAAAATGTATGAAAATTGCCAATTAGTTCTACAGTTTGTAAGACTTTTATAATACTTTTTTCAAATAAAAGATTCAAAAACTAGGAAAAAAAAGTACAGCATAAAATATAGGACAACATTTTATGCTGTATATGAATTCAAGTCATATTGAAGAACCATAGAATTTAAAATTTTTTAGAAGTAATTTGATAATACATATTTTTTTTAATCCTATATATAATACTTAACATTAAAAACAAAGACTTAAAAAAGATATTTGATCCAAAAAGAAAAAAATAGGCTAAATAAAACTGCAGGTAAATGGATAATTCTACACAATGATGAACTAAGAAAAGTAAATAATGACAGCATACTTCAAGCAGTAAAGAAAAGAAAACTCATATGAACTGGACATGCACCTTGCACCAATTAAGAAAGGTATATTTTCCAAATATTAAAATAGCAAGTAGAAAGACCTCCATTACAATAGGAATATGGAATTAAAAACTACATCAAACCAGTTGGAAAAGAGGAGATTAGTTGGATCAATCTCAAAATAGAGAAGCCTTGAGTGTAGTTTATGCTGGTCATAGGTCTTGTGGTCCAAGTACCATGGAATGAGTGAGTGAGTGAGTATTTATCAACTAAACTATAATTTTTTGTCATATAAAAATAATATTCGGACCATGTATTCTTATAGAGAAAATTCTTAAATTATATTTTGGACATGCATTTCATATTTTAAATTAAAATCTGAAAAATATACAAATGAAAATTTATTTTAAAACATACAAATTTTATTTTGTAAATTTTGCTTGCTTTTAATTGTTAAAGTTCCTTGTGGCTTTATACATTTTCAGTCTCCCTATTTATATGCAATAATGTCATTGTTTGGGTAAAATATATTATTAATATTGAATATTTTTTATCCTATTTCTTTTTTAATCAGGAATTTTAAAGTATATAAACATTATTAAATTTAATATTTCTTTCTTTTAGTTATCAAAGATGTTTTTTTTATTTCCGGATCCACATTTTAAAAGACAGAAGCATAAATGGAGAATAATTAGTCCACAATTATTAGCAGAATATGCATACGTTTTAAGAATTGGGGTAAGATTTTAATTAAATCATATTACAGTGGAACCCCGGTTAACGAACTTAATCCGTTCCGCAACTCCGTTCGTTAACTGAATTGTTCGTTAACCGAAGCAATTTTTCCCATAGAAATTAATGCAAATGCAATTAATCTATTCTAGTCTCCGAAATTTTTGTCATTTTATTTGTAATATACAGTAATTTTCTTTGATGAAAATGTAGGAAAACGTAGTATCTATCATTACAGCAACAAACATGTAAACTTTGTTTAATAAAATAGCACTGTACATACCTTCGTTTGTTGTAGTTGGTGGCAGAAAAGTGGAGATATACGAACCTTAATGCTTAGAAGGGGAATCCCCTCCAAAAAAATAACGGGTAGCACTTCATCGGAAGATTCTTCGAGTCGAAGTCTCTTTCGGTAAAAAAAACCCACCAGTGGCTAAGTGGTCTTCGTACCTTGAACACGGGGAGTTCGTTCGTGGGTTCGCACCTCGCTCAGACGGGCTGGCCACGTGGAGTTTTCCGGGATTTCTCCACGTCTGTAACGCCTAAATAGGGGCCAGTTTCCCTTAAAAACACCTCCCAGAAGGCATTCCCCCTAGGCAGATCGCCCAAGTGTTGCGTTGCCATAACTTAACAAACAAACAAACTCTTTCCGTAAGGAACAAGAAATTGATCTAAAGTTGATTGTCTTACTCTTTTAATCAAAATTTTTCTCAAATGCGATAGCGCATTGTCGTTTATATTGCGTTGTCGTTTTCTATTGCCACTATGACTTTTTTCTTTCTTGGATGCCATATTGATTAAATATATAAATCACAAAACTGAAAAAAGAAGTATAGCACAAACACTCGGAAAAGCAATGCTTAACTCGCGCATGCCTAACACCAACTAAAATTTGACACAAAATACCGTTACGTTCGTTATTCGAATTTTGTTCGTTATCCGAGACAAAATTTTTGCAAAATAAAAGTTCGTTAACCGATTTGGTCGTTAACCGATTTGGTCGTTAACCAGGACGTTCGTTAACCGGGGTTCCACTGTATTATTAATATTTAATCTGTACAATATATAGACAATTTATGTTCCTTTAAATTGGAGTTAGTAAAGCATAATCTGCAAAATTTTCTAATGTTCAACAGAACTTAGTAATCTGTATGGATAACAGCATAATGATAAAGTTTTAATCAAAATTTGACCTTAATATCATAACTTATATATGAATTTATTAAAGTAACATAAAACAGTTTAAATTTAGAAAGCTGTTTTTTATCTTTCAAATAAAATAAATCTAAAATTGTAATTAGACTATCTGTGATAGATTATAATTATCATTTGAAATAGTTCACAGAAATAAAATTTTTATTGTATTTGTGATAAAATAGTTTATCGTATATATAAATTATATATTAATCTAGAATTTTTTTATGAATTTATTTGTTATAATAATATATTTGCAAATACAATTTGTAAAGAAAATAAGCCATCTCTTGTCTTATGAAGCAGCTGAATATGTAATGAACTAAATTGTTGTACTGCGTGATCATAGAGTACCACTATTCAATGTAGTATGATGACATTTCAATGTTTGCAGTGATACTATTTGTAAATGCTGTTTAACATAAGCTAAATAACAGAAGAACAGTTCAAAATTTTTTTATTTCAATAATTCAGTATTTCAATATTTGATTATCAGTAATTATTCTGATTTAACATTGTTCATCGTGATATTAAGTGAATGTAGATATCTTAATGGATAGTACATCAAGATATCTAAGTGAAAGTAAATTTTTGTTTATTTAGCTTTTCTTAAGATTCAATATAGAATAGTTGAATAAATAGTAAAGAATTTCTTTAGTAGGAAGAAATTTGAGAAAGTTGAATTCAATTAATTTTGAATCGAACAAATGAAAACTATACAGGTATACCTCGCCTTACGTCGGTAATTGGTTCCAGCAAAACGACGTAAGTCGAGGTATGCCTGTATATCAAATATCTCAAATACAATGTTAAGATGATCAAAATTCATCTATTATGGTTAGATGTTGAAATTATTTAATGTACTCATAGTCTATATATCAATTACAAAATATTTTGTATTTACAGGGCATAGCATATACAATTACAGATGTTAAAGATTTGAATGAATGGATGGTAGAACACTTTGTTAAACATCCTCTGTTTGAGAGGCCATATAATTAGGCTATAGAGAAAAGGGGAAAACAATCAGAGATAACAAAAATGTTTAAATTTAATAGACAAACAGTTACTAATATCTGTGTACAGAATATTGAAAGAGAAATGATTTCACTGAAAAAGGGAAAAGGTTGTGGATGATTCGCCGCCGAAGCAGAAAATCAACATTCAAAGCAATGTTGCAAAGATGTTTATTACTTTGTCCAAAAACTGGCATTGTCGATTACCATTTTCTTTCTATTTGGCATGCTGTTTACCACTTTCTGATAAATGTTGGTGCTGCTAAATCTTTCTCACATCTCGCAAAAGGCTTCACACAGTTCTTCCGGGGTGGAAGCATTAAATGGCTCTCTTGCCATCTCCCCCACAGATGTTCAATGGGGTTTAGATGGCTCCCTTTCCTGGCCAGTTTAAGACGTCGATGTTGTTTTGACGTTCCAGCCAGTTTCTGGCCAATCTGGCTGTGTGAATTGGGGAGCGATCATGAACAAACGGGGCTTTTATAATGGGGTCCAACCATTGGAGAGAAGGTAAAAAATTGCCCTCTAAGATGTTGATGTATTTGGCTGCTGTAAGATTGCCATTTATTCGAACCAAGGAACTGGGTCCAGATGCAGACATCCATGCCCATACTCCTGAGAAACAAAAGAAAAAATTACTTAAAAGCATGAAAAACATGGTATAATTATAAATATCATGAATGCAATTAAGTTTTAATGCTTGTGTTACTGCATTGGTTATATGCTAATACTTACAGCAAATTTTATAAGTGCTTTCATTTGAACTACAGTACTTATAAACAGTTCATATTAAACTATTGAAAACAATCTGATGATGTTTTAAATGTTATGAAGATAATTAATAAGATAATATATTTGTATTTTTGTAATATTGTAAGACAAGTATCAAATAATTAAGAGCAATACCTCACACATTATCATCTACTACTTTGTAATTTAGTGATTAAATCGAATCTTCAGAGAAGGAATACGACGAATACGGAGTATAAATGGTTGGTCATTATACAATGAAATACCTCACNTATTAATATTAAATTTACAAAATTTAATAATTAGAATAAATTTACAAATTAAGCATGATGCCAGTCTATGGTTATTTTAGCAGTGTGTTGAAAATTTATTTTTGCCTCTATTATGTATAAACTTTGGCATACATTTTTATTACATATAACAAACTCTTATATCACATTGCTTTCAAAGTTAGCTCTTTCTGCACTTGTACAATTCTGCCATTGTCAATACCACTTTTCAAAGATACCTAAAAAGCAATTTTTGTGAAATCTTTAATTATCACTTGCAATTGGAATCTGCAACTCTTCAATTTCTCTCATCTTAGGAAACAGATAAAAGTCTGAGGGCTTTATCATGGGTGTAATAAGATAGTTGACCAAATAGATGATTTCCTATTTGATGACCAGGAATAATGAATAGAAGCCAAGGGTATAAGTCAAGTAGAGCAACTAGTCATTGAATATATTAAAAAAAATACATGTGTTACTGTAGGTATTTATTTTGAACATGGTCATCTGTAAATACTTATACTGTTAATGAAATAAAGCCAAAAATACACCAAACTTTTATCATGTATAAAGTGTTCCAAATTTAATCTTATCTAATATATTTTTATATATTAAATATTACCAAAGATTTAGAGTATATTCAGAGTATACATGTTGGTTAACTTTAAGTACATTTCAAATTCCTTATTATGTAATTTATGTTTGTTAAATTAAAAAACTTTTCAATTAGAATGTTATTTACATCAAGTGGATCTGAGAAATTCTCAAAATCTTAATCATTCTACAATTATTTTCTGGCTCCTTAAATGTTTTGATCATAATTATGGAAAAAATCTTTAGTGATCTGATATGAAAGATTTTGAATAGTAATAAAAATAAAAGCAAAAATTCAATAGTTTTATAGCAATTTTTAAAATTATATTAAAAGACCAAAAACATAGAAGAGTATTATCTTTATTATCAAAACAAAATTAGGTTAAATCTGATCTAAATCTTTATATATCTTGGTAGTGTGGATTAAAACATTATTTCCTATTCATGTTGGAAGACTTTTATATAGGAGTTTTACTTTCATTGAAGTGTATTTAAGACTGACTGCATAGTACATATTTTGATTTAAGATCAAAATCAGTAACACTGTATTTCAAATCTTGCAGTTAAAATTACAAAACAACCACAGTAGAGCATCGATTTTCCGAATCAATTGGGGACTGGGGTTGTCCGGATAACTGATTTATGTATGAAAAAATAGTTTAACGTATCCGATGTTGAAATTTTTCTCCATTGCGTGTTGCTTCGCGTTGAATTTTCGTCGATGTTAAGCCTAACAAAGACTATTGTATCGTTAAAAATTATTTTTTTATTTTGTACAAACAAAATAAATATATTGAAAAATATAAAAATAATAAAAAATTATACTTCAGATGTTAATTTAATATCAAAAACGTAAAAAAAAGGAGGGTGTTCTATATAAGACATAAAAGTAGTTGCGCCACAGCACTGGCAAAAATTTAAATTTGCCGACTGGAATTCTTTCGGATGATTGACTTTTGGAAAATCGACACTCTACTGTATTCATTAATTAATAATAATAATAGTTTAGTCATTAGAAAACAGAATTCTATATACATACATAGTCCAAATCAAAATTTTAGAGGTATGTGCTGTATGGTTGCTTGTTTTACTTGTTATGAATTAACATAAATGAGCAATGGAGAATTTTTTTAATGCAAACAGTTTGTGAAAAATCATAATGGTCTAGATTGGATTCATTTCACAGCCCTTGTGTTGACAGGATATTTTGCCAAACATAAATCAAATAAATTGTATGCTAGGTTATCATAACTATAAAGAATTCAGATTATTTATTCTTTTATTTTTAGAAAGAAGATTTAGTTGTTCAACAATTGTTCGACAGCACAGAAGAAGGTAAAAAAGTAACTCGAAACTGTGGAGAAAAATATCTTGCTGTATTCCGAAGAGTCAAAGATCCTTTTGGTTGAAGGACTATATCAATATTCTTCAATGAGTAAATTTAACCCCGTGGAGGTTGTGGTGTCAAAATTATGGAGTGAGGTCACAGTGTAAGATACATCAATAAAAAATTGCTTTAAAATGTGTTGATTGTCAAAAGTTTAAATGAAAAACATTTATAACATTTCTAATCAAAATGTTAATTTTTTTAATTATGAAAAGAAATATTAATTTTTAACAGAATTTAATAAAAAAATTACAGAAATAAATTGAAGTAAAACCTACAATAACTGCTATAATATACTTCTTGTGTAGGTTAAAATGTATAAGCAAACTGTATAATGGCCTCTTTTATTTCTAGACTTATCACACCATCATCAGACACAAGACAATGTGATAAGTCTAGAAACAAGAGGCCATTATACAGCTCTTATACTGCAATAACTGATTTAAAATAGCCTGTAGTCAATATTCTCAGTTTATGAATGTTTTAGTTGATAATGTGAGAATACTGAATATGATAAATGCATTAATAAGCTAACATAAGAAACAGACTAATTTCATCAGAAATTTCTTCAGTATCAGAATATTATTTTCAAATTCAAAAATCAAATTTTTATCATCTGACTGAAGTAACAGCTGCTATAATTCTTCAACATCTCCTCATTGTCAATTCAATATGTGAAATTTTCCATTTTCAGACAAAACTGAAAAACATCTTTAAAAAAATACAGCAGTGAGTTTCTTAACTTTCCTGGCAACATTTAAAATTCTGGTGGCAGCACCTGTTATATTTTATTAAAAAGCTTATTATATTTTTATTTATTATAGCTTAATTTTGAGAGTAGGGATGGGTTTTATAAAAAAATGTAAATGCTAATAACAAGTAAAATCATTAGTCTGACCCTACTTTAGATATGACACTCGATCATCACTATTTCCTCATCCCATTGACCTTTAACTACCAAAATTTAATTGCATCATCACCTAATACACAAACCTCCCTGCAAAATTTCAGAAATTTTCAACAAAAAGCACACAAGTTATTAAGCTTCAAAGAGGATTAACAAAATTGTGCTCCCCACAAACATTCATGCATACAGAAAAAAAACCCAGATTTTTTGCATTTTAAGGTCTAGAGTCTAAAAATGTAAATCTTGGGGGCATTTTTTGACTGATTGCTATACTTCCTGTGTTATAACAGCCAGGAAAGTAATGTTTTAAAAATTATTCTAAATGTATCTATGATATCAACCACAACCTTCAAATGATTAAGTGAAAAGTGATATACAGTAATTACAAATTAAGTGATAAATTAACAAAAAAAAATGAATACAGTGGTACCTCAGGATACGAAATTAATCCGTTCTGAAACTGAGATCGTATCATGAAAATGTCGTAAGGTGAATCATTTTTCCCCATACAATTACATGTAAAACCAAATAATTCATTCCAACACGAAAAAAAAA